CAACTTTAGACTTTTTTCATTTTTTTCAAGAAAAGCGTTATGCACCCAAAAGGTGAATTTTCAGAGCATTGAACTTTTCCATTTTCTGTTCAAATCCACTTTCAACTTTTCTTTCTTCTTTTATTCTTCATCCAAATGGGCAGCCAAAATATAGCAACCAAAACCGGTGCATGAATACGTGATATTGTTTCAGTCTTATTAATTTGTTGGAGTCTCATTTTTCCGAATAGCGAGTGTTCATGTGGTCAGAGACTATCGAGTATAGACACTATTACGTATTACGTAAAGCTACTTGTCAGCCTACTCGATGCCTTTTTGATGGTATCTGATCTTGACAGTCTGCAGTTGTCGGATCTGTTTTTAGCTTAACGACTGAACTGATAAAGACTGCCACTCTCGCTTGATAACACAAAAGTTTGTAAATTTTCTAGATTCCGAGNCCGAGGCAATGAAACACTACTGCTTCTAACAAACATTGATAGATTATCCACTGGAGCACAAATGTAGCACGGCCGCATTTCGAATACCCCGCCAGACTACGATGCCACGCACATTTTAAAGCAGAGGGAGGATATTTTTCTTGACCCTATGTCAATTGGGTCAGAAATCGGGGGAAGTAAATTGTAGTTCAAAAACGGTTATAGACTGGATGAAATCACGGAAGCTTGAGGGTCATCGGCACTTACTGGGGGAGGCTGGGTCGGAGTATTACCAACACGGATGGAGATCTTGCGGTCAANNNNCTGAATGCTTACGAGGTGTCAAGCGATCCTATGGGATGCTCTATGGTTAGTAGTGACTAGTAGTGAGAGACAGACTGGAAAATCGCCGATGGACTGACACGGTCGAAATCCGTATTAGTATAATGTAAGTTATATACTCCTGTTTGTTTATCAACGACTTGCGAATAAGCGTGGTGCCAACGTGGGTCAAGCTTTGGTTAGCCGAAAGTTCCGGCTGTGAATTCTCGAGAAAATCCTCCTGTTTCGTTCTTCCTCTCTCTCTGTCTTTTTGTGATTGGTACATTGGTGAATATGTTACACTGACGTACAGAATTTTTCGACCCATTGCGCTTTATCTGGTTTCAATCACTTTTCACTTCGCTATAGCTCACAATGGATCAGCTTTGCAGTCTACCTGGTATTTACAACCGAATGGAAGCGGAGAAATTCCAACTTCCATCTCTTGCCGGGGAGAATTCCGATTCCAATATTCGCATACCGCTCAACTCGTGGCTGCCATTTACAGGCAGTCAAAAATCAAGCACGGGAAGTCGCACGGCAGTTCGTGTACGGCTAGTGGCCCGCGTGCGCGATGCATGCCCTCGACAGGTTGACGAACTTCGTGATCTCATACTGCTTGCATGCGAGCGATGTCAGTCCGCTGTACGCATCACTTGTCTACTAGATCCGAACGAGTAGGTTTCTGTCACTCAGATTTCTCTTACCGATTCATGCCAATTGTATTTATGCACATTTAGCTATCGATGGACTAGGTTGTTTTCTTTTGGCAAGCTATTCACCAAGCTTCGTTTGTCTGTTCTTACATTGCGTTCGTAAACAGTGGCGTTCGTGCATCTTCTCAATTTCTTCGCATCATTAGTCCACTGAACTTCTCAATTTTCTCTTCGATCCTACTGTCAACCGGCCTGTTTTCCTCCTATTGTTCACCCAAGTGGGCAGCAAAAAGAGAAACCCAAAGCGACGCATGGAAGTGCATGCCTAATGGTTGTTTAAGCGGAATCGAACTGAACCTTGCGGTCTAATTTGCTGTACCTGGAATACTTGGGGCCATGTAGTTTGGGGTTCGAAACCCGCTACTGTTGCCCAACTGTATTAGCAGATAGTGTCACTGCACCTCGACTGAATACCGTGTTCATCCTATGGGGTACGTATGCGGTTCGTCTGTCGAAGTTTTGGGCCTAATTTTCCGTCGACTTGAGTGAACAGTCCTGACTGTGGGTTTCATCCTTTCTGCTGTTCATCGCACTGTTATGTAATTAAAAAACCTGCATTATTCATCTTTGGGAAATCCTCTTATTTAGCTAAGTTCATATCATTTACCTTAGTTATCACCACAAGGCTTTAGGTGCATCCTAAATGCGGCACCTTTTTGATTCCTCTTCTATGTTCCGTTTTTCCGCACCACACACACATGCTCGATGTACGTGTGATTACAGGGACGTGTGCCGATGTGATGTTCCACGGAAAACGCGCTCTGCGAGCACCACCTCACGCACATTGGTTGTGATTCCGTTTCTGTTTTTGACCATGCAAGATGCTACTAGATCGTGGGTCCTTGTGGCCTCCGGTCAAGCCGCTTTGAAACTGCTTCGTGTATCGGACTTGTCCATGGATCAGCTAATCGAGGAACTGATAGTGACCCGTTCCAGGGAGAACGTCGGTCGCACCGTACAATCCACTACGCCCCTAGCAGACCGCTTTTTACGAGCAATACGGGGTTTGAAAAACCAGTGGCTCAATGTGTTGGTTCGCGCAAGTTGGCGCGCTGAGTGGGATCTATGCCTGCCTGTTTCGTTGAATAAACTTCAGATGAAATTCGAACTCATTGAAGAGAATAATGCATGCTCATCCACCGAGTCACATGTATAGTTGTTTGGCCGTTCCATATTGCCAGGCTGTAAATAGATCGTTATTTTTATGTAATAAAGATATTGCACATATTTCTTTACTCGGTGTTTCTGCCTTTCGATGGAAGCATGTTTCTATTGGTGCGGGTTTAAACTGCCGAGTACCTTATCGGTTGACTTTATATCTGTGTTTCGTCTAGTGCTGTGAAATAACCCAGGGAAGTGAACAATTAAATTATTGTAATCACTTTACTTATATGAGTCTCGTTCAAATAGAACCGGGTCCTTCTTTCATCCTGTTACTTCATGCGACCTTCCGTAGTGCATGAGCATTAGAACTTAACGAATTTCCGTCTGATTCTACCCCAGTGGTACTTCAAACGCACTAATCCATTTCCTTCCTCATCAGTCTTCAAATAAGAGATATACTTCCTAGGCATATTTACCCCAAAATGAGCACTCACTCACTATGGAAAATGATCAGCCAATCGTGAAGAGTGGGTGTGATCGTCCTTAGCAGGCCAATCCACAATTGAGTATGGTAGGGGGATTCAGAATGATTTCGTTCCCCTGTAGGGGAATTTCTTTGTCGAATACATTCAATGCATTATTTGACTTACTTATCTACAGATTACGATCAGAACTAGGGTTCCAATCGGTTAGCTGCATTTTGTTTTCTCATTTCTGCCAATAGATACGTGTGCAGTGAATTGGGCGGTTTGTCGATTTGCCTTGTGTACACATACACGTAGCCAGTTTGCAAAAAGGTCGAGTTCCGAATTGTGTCAACAACCGAGGCGGTTGCCATTCCTCTCCACGCCCCCCGCCTTTGCGGGCCCATGAACAGCTTATAAAATCACTGATCATCCACTGACAATCTGGTGACGTAAACTCCGTTCATGAACTCCCACTCTTCACTTACCCACACAGTCACCGTTGAAGCTATCCTTAGTGGGCGGTGTGTGCTTGTCCGAACAATTATCTGAGACTGGGGAAACTAAGCCCTCACTTGGTGAGAAAGCGATAGCCGGAACGTGAAGAATATCAATGGGATTAAAAGGTGATGGAGTGAACAGTAAGATGAAGGAACAATAAATAATTCCGAGGAGCGGAATGAGCACCATTCTTAGCGCCTCTTTTGATGGACATTCGGAAACAAAATTGTACACAACGCATGTGTCGCTTTGATCACCATTGTCGGTATGTGGAGGAAACCTTTGTAATGTCCGATGGGACACTTGATATACCGGCCACATCACAGTCCATTTGGCAATGAGACTGAATAAAGAGATTAGTTATTAACCCTGGACGTTTATTCAGTTGTACCCTCGGATGGATCTGTCTCCTGAAAGGTATAAGAAAAATGGCTCCGAGCGTTTTGGCGTAGGATCACATCCATCTTCTGTACGTTGCTAAACGTATCTGCTACAATGAATCGCTTAGGGACAACTTTCAACTGTGAGAAACACAGTTTGAAAATGAGAGTCCGATATATCTATTGATAGGCGTTGAGTTGGGAGAACAAAGCCAACAAAGTGGCACTGGGCTTAGAAAAATACATCATTTGTAAGACCTTTTACGAAAAGTCCATCAGCAGAAGAGGTCAGTCGAGTGATAGGCAACACTTATTTAACAACAAGTTTCAACACGGCCAAATTCATGTGCATTTCCAACTTCAGTTGCCATGGAACGTCAAAATCCTGAGAATCTATCTGTCTTTTTGATCTCATTCGCGATAAATCAATGAATAGTGTTTTCTGAATGACCGTTTGTTTAACTACATCAATGTCATTTTATTGTTGGGTCATGTGGGGCTTTCGTTCATCCGATCGGACGTTTCGGTTGATGCAAGTGACTCTATAAACGTCCATTATTTGTTCATGCTTTGCGATTTGTGCGCTGTGCACTAAAGGAGTGTACTTTTCCAGTTTATAAAGAACGGCCTGTTGACATAGAGACGAAGAACAGCGACGCGAAATTCCACATGATGGAGAAATGCTCGAATAGTCTGCGGATTCACTCACCGGCGTCTTTGACAATGGAGATGGTGCGACTAGCTGACACATGCAGTCTGTGAATAATGCTACATACACTTTGTTTTGAAGTACTTTTGGCCAAGCTTCTCTGAGTATACTCAACGTATTTATACACTGTGTTTATGAGGATAGTGGAGACTAGTAGATAGTGATGACAAAGATCGAGTGTTACTTACTGTCTTGGAGAATACGAATAATTCGTTAGACGCAGGAGCAATCTAGTGCTTATTTTCATGCTTTCGTCCTATCCCCGAGGTCACTGGCAGTATCTCTTCTTATCCGTAAGAGAATCCAATAAGGGACCGGCTTGTCATTGGTGTACGAGAATCTGCCTTGATGAAGTCCGTTTCAGGAATTCCAAACAGCGGATTGGTGTATATCGGGGTGAATAAGCAGCTGAAAACGCATGTGTAGCATCATGATTTGTTTAAAACTGCTACAGAGACAATGCGTTGTTTGTCCCTGTGTCCGCGTGTTATAAGACGAAACTATTACCATTTTTGCAGTGAAGTGTTTCCCTGAGAACAAATCGTCCTCGGACTCTCACATCCAAGAAGTTGAACCGCGCTCGCGATGTAAGCAGACGAAAAATGAGATTCTGTCAGTTATGTCCGTCGCCATTTGGCTACAAAGTTTCATACTGAATACTACTCTGTCTCCTTATGTAAGCAAGGCTGATTAATTGGAATGGTCCTTACACGGTACAGAAAGAAGCAATTAAGATTGCACTGATACATGTGAAACATCGAGTTTCTTCAGTCATCAGCTTCATCGTGATCACCCTAGGTTGTGCTAACCAAAAAGAACAAATCCACTGATCGCTTCAGTTTAGTATCTTTCAATCGAGATGCTCTGGTTCTTTATCTTTTCGAGGTACTCTGAGAACAAATTACGGCTTGGCCTTACATGACGGGTTCAGAAGGTAGGCCGGAATTGTTATACTGCCTGTAAACAACGCGACGAAATCATTTGATTGACCAAAGCACCGTGATTCGTATGTTGTTGCAGACGAATTTGTACACCTGCTGTTTGTTCTTGCCTCGAACCGCATCCTGGCGAAGGTGGACGAACCAGCGGGTTGGTTTGGTCAAGTGGTGGTCATAATCAAACATTTTGGAGAGCTCCACATTTTTACTCATTCCTGGTAGGAACACCGCACCGACTGGTGCTTCTGACTTTTACAACTGGAATCGTCGAATGGATCACCCTTCACGAAAGTAGATTTGTCCTTTGCGTTTTGATAGAAGTTGTCTGACATGTTTTTCACATACCGTTCGGATGATGTCACCAGAGAGGTTACCATTTGACTCGAT